CAACACCACTGACCTGTCCACCAACTTCATCAAATCATTACTCCACCCCTTTACCAGATCATTGTCATAGCCACCAACTTCCTCCTCTCCCCTGCCTCTACCACAACTCTAATTATAATGCACATGAAGTGTTTATTTAAATGGTTAAGAGAGATACTATGTTCTCTACTATATTCAAGATCTCTAGGATTTTCTTTTTTTTTTTAAAAAAATTCTTATTTTATTTTGATCATACTTCTTGTCGGGGTAAAATTGGGTATTGTGAGATAGGGGATATTGGATTAGCTTTTGGGAATCTTGCAGTAACTTTTCATCTCTCTACTATTCAAATTATGGAGTTGAATATGAGTTGTGCCTTATTTTCTTTTAGTTACACAGTGACTAAATGAAGAGGTCATAGTTAGAGNGTTAGAGATATGAGTGGACTCTGCAGTAGAAACTGTGAAGGTGACTGTACAGTTACATGAGGCTAGCATGGCAGCTAGTCAGAAAAAGGGATTTGATTGACCCAAGCTGCTTGGGAGGATTGTTGTGTGAGGAGGTCCTTTGATGCTAGTTGAATTTGCATTGCTCTTGTGAGAGTGGTGGCAGGATGAATGCTAGCTATGAATAAGTGATTTTNGGGCAAAACAACTAAACGAATAAATGATCTTCTAAAAAAGACTAAACAAATAAACGGTTCATATGAACCTAACTTTAATCCAACTTCAATTCAATGTTGAAAAATCATGCTATATTTCATCTCATTTTTACCATCTCTCTAACACATATTTTATTTTTGAAATGCACTCTCTGACACTTGATACACCTATGAAAGAACTATGCCGACTCTCTTATCTATTCTTTGCCTTCTCTNACTGAAAGGTAGGCCACGGTGGAGAAGGAACGAGCAGATATAGTAGAGACGATGTAGTAAGGGATGCTGAGATCAGTAGCGATTTGAGAGAGACTTGCAGCTACAACAAAGTCTGAAAAGATGGCAAAGGGTGGTCGAGGCAACGATGATAGGATAGGAACACGGAGGCGAATGAAGTGGTTAATGGCTTCAAAATGGACGATGAAATGATCATTGGTGGTGGAACTGAGGTTTTAAAGGTAGTANACTCAAAACCTAAGAATTCAAAAACCACCTTCCCCTAACCAGCAAAATCCCCCGAACCTTAACCCCAACCCCCAAGCCTGCTACGATAGAGGCGACCGAACAACGACGACAATGGTTGCAATCGATAGTAACAAAGACACGAGTAACTCTCTTTCCCCCTTTTCCTTTTTTATACCACAAACGTACCTATTAACTTCATTAGATCACTGCTCCACCCTTTCATCAGATTATTGTCGTAGTCACCAACTTCTTCCTCTCCCTAGGCACCAACACAACTCTCATCATAATCTACATGAAGTGTTTGTTTAAATGGCTAAGAAAAATACTATATGCTCTACCATGTTCAAGATCCCTAGGTTTTGCTTGTTTTTTTTAACCTTTTATTATTTTATTTTGCTTATACTTCTTGATGGGGCTAAAATTGGGTACTGTGAAACAAGGGTTACTAGGTCTACTTTTGAGGATCTGGATGTAACTTATATTCCATCTACTATTCAAATTTTGCGATTGAATATGAACTGTCTTATTCTCTTTTAGTTGAACAGACACTAAATGAAAAGGACATAGTTAGAGACAAAATAGATATAATCATAACAAAGACCCACCACTTTCTCTTCTTTTTTTTTATATAGGTCAGCTACTTTTCTCTTCAACATACAACATAATGTGTCCACAACAAATAAATGAATAAACGACCTTTCAAACAAAAATCTAAATGAATAAACAGTTCAAATGAACTTGAGTTTAATCCAATTTCAATTCAACGTTGAAAAATTATACTAAATTTCATCTCTTTTATANTTATCAGTATCATGTTGAGTTCATATCGTATATATGTTATTTTATAAATACAGTAACAAACTCATACAGGATTTATTTGTAGTTTAATCCTTGGCAGTTAATTTCATGTGCTTGTTTGCTAGTTTGTTGAAAAAAGAAAAGAATTAAATTTAGGAGCTGCAACATTATATAACAATATTATGTTCAATTAGAGGTGGCAAATGGGTGGGTTAGGTTATATTGGATTGGGCGAAAATAAATCGAATATATTTTTTACTCACGCAATAAATGGGTTATAATGAGTTGAGTTTATAACGGATTGGGTTAAACCGATTAACCTATAAAATAATTAAAATTCTTAATAGACACATTAATATATTAAAACACACACACATGAGTAATACACCAAAATACAAACATACTCACACACACTAATACACNCTAACCCCTTACCTTGCTAAGGTAGAGGTGAGCAACTACAATGACTGCAACGATGATAACGAAGACACATGTAACTCTCTCCCCCTCTTCCATTTCTACAACACTAACCAACCCACAAACTTCAAATGAACTTAACTTCAATCCAATTTCAATTCAATGTTGAAAAATCATGCTAAATTTCATCTCTTTTTTATCATCCTTACTCTCTCGTCTCTTCTATGCCTTTTCTTTCCCCCATCTCTTTCCACCATCCTCACTCTATCTACTCTCATTTCTTGCATTGTTGTCTCTATCACTATTACAACATCACTGCCCATAGCCCCTCTCCCTACACCCTATTCTCTCCCCCAGAATAGGGTGTCAAGAGAGGGGCTATGGGCAGTAGTTTGCACTTTTCATACGGCAAGTGGTTTGCACTTTTCAAAGTTTCATTTGTCATCATCCACATGAAAATTCTAAATGTAACGGCCCTATACATCCCGAATTTTTCGTAATTAAAGTCACCTGAAAACATGCAATTTGTCTCAGCATTGTTCATGCGTAAAAGATGGAAAAATCGGCACTGAATATTTTACAAGACCCCTTTATGTAGAATAAAGCTATACAACTCACAACATAGACTCATATTATAAACTCACATATTGAACATGGTGTACTTGAGTTTCCTATGTATGGAATAGGAACATTAGTCAGTTGCAACAAGTTTCCTTCTTTCCTNCTAACACAAAAACTAAACACACATTTAATAAAAAAAAATACGCATATAATGGGTTGGGTCGATTGTGGGCTATGAGTTGGTCTGTGGGTCGTGGGTCATGAGTCAGCTCATGGGTCGTGGGTGGTGTTTTAGTGTGTGTGTTTTTGGTGTACTAGTGTGTATATATTTTGGTGTCTTAGTGTATATGTGTATTTTTTGGTGTAAAAGTGTGTGTATTTTTTGATATATCAATATATTTATTTAATTTTATTGCTTGTGTTATTTAATAAAAATATAAATACTCAACCCAATGAATACCTATTTATAATCCATATTAATCAGTTTAATTAAAATAAATCATATTACTCAATCCATTTAGAACTCATATTAATTAATATAGGTACTCAACTCATTTACTTTATTATCTTCTAAAGGGATCGCAACCGTGTAAAATAAAAAGCAGAATAAACCATGTCAAAATTAGACAGCTCGATTTATTTGTCAGTTAAAAAAAAAGGATCCAAACCCAAAACGCTGCGTTTCTCTTATTGAATGCTGTCGTTTGGAGTCTTTGGACTCAGTTTAAATCTCCCTCAAACTCCTAAACGATGTCGTTTCCACGTTTTCTCACCGTCCTTTCTATAATTATCAACAGCATCAACCTCCTCCGCCTTCTTCCTTGACCCCTCTCTGTCTCTCGCCGAAGTGTTCTCTGCAATGAGTGCCTGCAAAACCCTACTCCGTACATATATTTATTGCCTTGAATGCAGAGTCCGAAGCCCTCACCGACGAACCTCCTCTTCTCTCTCTCTTCCTCACCTCCGTGCATTCTCCTCCTCTCCTTCAGCTCATCTTTTGTTCCCTTCTCTCGTCTCTCGAAATCCAGGTGAAATTCTCTACCTTTCCTATTTTTTATTCGTTTGTGTGTTCGTCTGTCGATTATTATTCCCCAATGTATGTTCTGCGTATGTTTAATCGATCCTTATACTGTTTTGCCTTGTTTTCTGTTGGAAAAAAAGTTAGGGTTTAGACTCCAATCCTATAGAGCTCATTTAAGATGTTCCGGCTTCATTGAAGAAGCAGTTCCTTTGGAAACCACAGAATGTACGGACGAAACAATCACTCAACTCTTAACGCTAGAACCGCCGGAGGAATCAGGTAAAGACTCGGTCGACGAGTTGCTTTTGAAAAGGGACGACGTTTCAAGATTAATGAAAATGGAACGCAGGTNTATTGAATGCTGTCGTTTGGAATCTTTGGACTCATTTTAAAACTCCCTCAAACTCCTAAACGATGTCATTTCCACGTTTTCTCACCTTCCTTTCTGTAATTATCAACAGCATCAACCTCCTTCGCCTTCTTCTTTGACCCCTCTCTGTCTCTCACCGAAGTGTTCTCTGCAATGAGTACCTGCAAAACCCTAGTTCGTACATATATTTCTTGCCTTGAATGCAGAGTCCGAAGCCCTCATCGACGAACTTCCTCTTCTCTCTCTCTTCCTCACCTCTGTGCATTCTCATCCTCTCCTTCACCTCATCTTTTGTTCCTCTCTCTCGTCTCTCGAAATCCTGGTGAAATTCTCTACCTTTCCTATTTTTTATGCGTTTGTGTATTCGTCTGTCGATTATTATTCCCCAATGTATTTTCTGCGTATGTTTAATCGATCCTTGTACTGTTTTGCCTTGTTTTCTGTTCGAAAAAAGTTAGGGTTTAGACTCCAATCCTATAGAGCTCATTTAAGATGTTGCAGCTTCATTGAAGAAGCAATTCCTTTGGAAACCACAGAATGTACGGACGAAACAATCACTCAGCTCTTAACCCTAGAACCGCCGGAGGAATCAGGTAAAGACTCGGTCGAAGAGTTGCTTTTGAAAAGCGACGACGTTTCAAGATTAATGAAAATGGAACGCAGGTCTGATTTGGATAGTAAAGACCAGTTTAACCAATCGAGGCGTTGGTTTCCATATCTCGATAAATTTGATGCAGGAAGTATGCATTTGAGTGGCGGTGAAGTGTTGGAAACGCTCGATCGGCCTATTGGTCAGTCTGATGAACTTTTAAGGCTATACTCATATGTAAGGCATCAAACAGTGGGGATTCGTAGTTCAGCCATTTTATTCGGTTTGAAAAGCTGTATTGAGTTGGGTGACTTAGAATTTGGAAGAGGTATTCATGCTGATGCTCTCAAGTTTGGATTAAATATTAGTAAGTTTGTGGGGTCATCTCTCATAGGGCTGTATTCAAGATGTGGTGATATTGAGGAAGCAGCTAAAGCNTCGGTTTGAAAAGCTGTATTGAGTTGGGTGACTTAGAATTTGGAAGAGGTATTCATACTGATGCTCTCAAGTTTGGATTAAATATTAGTAAGTTTGTGGGGTCGTCTCTGATAGGGCTGTATTCAAGATGTGGTGATATTGAGGAAGCAGCTAAAGCGTTTGATGAAATAATTGAGAAAGATATTGTTGCTTATACGTCTTTGATTACGGGCTATGCTCAAGTTGGTGATCACCGAGCATATGAGGCTTTTAGAGTTGCTTATCATATGCAGAAGGAAGAAATTGATCCTAATCGGGTGACACTAGTGAGCTTACTTCAGGCAGCGTCAGAGTTAGGAGCATTAGAAGAGGGTCAATCAATTCATGGGTATGCTATTAGAAGAGGAATTGGTTGTTCAGATGAAGTATTTGAAACAAGTCTGATGGACATGTATAACAAGTGTGGGCCACCAAATATGGCGGCCACATTTTTTGGTAGAATGGGCTCGAGAACGGTGGGTTCCTGGAATGCTTTGATTTCTCGTCATCTTCAGTTGGGGCAGCCCCTAGAGGCATTGCATCTTTTCTTTCAAATGGTCCAAAGAAATTATGAGCTTGATTTGATTACTTTAGCAAATGGGCTTTTGAGTTGTGCTGACTTGGAGAATTTGCTTGTAGGTAAGATCATCCATGCTTATATTGTGCGAACTGGTGCTCAACTTGATATTGTTGCTACCACAGCTCTGATTGATATGTATTTGAAATGCAACCATTTAATCCTGGCCAGGGAAATCTTCGACAGAATTGAGGAAAAGGACGTTATCTCATTTAATGTGATGATAGCTGGTTATCTCCAGAATGGATTTGCTTGTCAGGCCATTGAAGTATTTTATGAAATGGTTGGTATAGGTATTAGACTGAACCCAGTCACCATTATGAGTATACTTTCTGCATTATCCGATCTAAAAGATGTAAGACAAGGCAAGTGCATCCATGGATATGTGTTTAGACGTGGGTTTGGATCAAACACGGAAATTGCTAATCAGATCATTTACATGTACGCAAAATGTGGTTTTGTACAGTGTGCGAGCCGAATCTTCAAAAACATAAAACGTAAGGATTTGGTGTCATGGACATCAATGATGATGGGTTATTTGCACCAAGGTCATGCCGATGAAGCTGTAACCTTGTTCCGGCTAATGCAAAGAGAAAATCTGAGTCCCGACTCTGTCACATTAATATGTCTGCTTCAAGCATTTGCTCAGCTTGGATTTCTAAATCTAGCAAAGGAAGTTCATTGTCTTGTGCAGCGCGTATCCTTGGACATAGGGATACCTGTCATTAATTCGCTGATTACTGCTTACAGCAAATGTGGAAAATTAGACATGTCCAGAGTTTTATTTGAGCACATGGCTGGTCGGTGTTTGGTCTCGTGGAACACAATGATTGCTGCATATGGAATGCATGGAAGATGTGTCCAGGCTCTCAAATTGTTTGACCAAATGAAAAAGGAGAATGTTGTACCTGATGACTTAACCTTCAGATCAGTACTTGCCGCCTGTAGTCATTCTGGCTTGGTAGAAGAGGGTCTGCATATTTTTAGATCCATGAAAGAAGAGTACTCAATGATTCCATCGGAAGAACATTATGGGTGTATGATAGACTTATTAAGTAGAGCAGGACGGCTTGAAGAAGCTTATGATTTGCTGCGATGTCTGCCACCAAGACAAAGTGCTTCTGCACTTGGTGCTTTGCTTGCTGCTTGCAGAGTTCATGGAAATTCTGAGATGGGGGAAACTGTGGGAAGGTGGCTTTTGGATTTGGAGCCTCAAAACCCAAGCACATATGGTTTGGTGTCAAATATTTATGCTGGAGGAGAGAAGTGGAAGGAAGCAGCCCAAGTAAGAGCTTTGGCCAAGGAGAGAAGTCTTAAAAGGACTCCTGGCTATAGCCTGATAGAGTTCAGATAAACAGGTATTGAAAATGGAACGCAGGTCTGATTTGGATAGTAAAAACCAGTTTATCCAATCGGGACGTTGGTTTCCATATCTTGATAAATTTGATGCAAGAAGTATGCATTTGAAGTGGTGAAGTGTTGGAAGCACTTGATCCGCATATATTGGATGTGTGGAAGGAGAGGTTTCGGAATTTGGCAAAGAATCGGAGCTATTCGGTGTGTTTGGTGGTCGAGGGATTGTGTGATTTCGGGAATGTTTCTGCAACATTTTGGTCAGTGGATGCGCTAGGGTTCCAGTCAGTTCATGTTGTGCCCTGCGACAGCNTCGGAATTTGGCAAAGAATCGGAGCTATTCGGTGTGTTTGGTGGTCGAGGGATTGTGTGATTTCGGGAATGTTTCTGCAACATTTTGGTCAGTGGATGCGCTAGGGTTCCAGTCAGTTCATGTTGTGCCCTGCGACAGCTCGAAAAGGTGCAACAAGATTTGAGGTGAAAAATGCCTTGATTTTACAGGAGAATTACTGTGTTTTTTGTTTCAAATTATGACTTTGTTTAGTATAACAATTTATTGTTTGATATAGTATTCAGAGTATATTGCATTTGATTGGACCACCAGCGCACTAAAATTTGCAAGGTTATGTTCAGGTGGCTCCTGGAGAAAGTGTGATACTTGCATTTTGGTTTGGATAGAGGTTGAAGTAATACACCACTCCTCAGGAATTAGGAATTGTGGAAACACTTGTTTAAATATTATCCTATGCTATAGGGTCAATTGTAAGATTTTACAAGAGATGCAGAATTATGCTTGTAATGAGTTTTATGAACACTCTAGCATGCTGTAGAACCTGTATTGATTCCTGAGAGTTTCTTTGGCCAGCCTAGGTCTTCCCCAATTTGCAAAATTGAAGCTTTAAACTGAAAGGGTAGACCTCCCTTCTTTAACTATAATGGGATACCCCATGTGACTTGCAGGTACGGAGACAATCGTCATGTGAGCATGGGAGCTGAGAAATGGTTCGATATCGAACTTTGGAACTCCACCAAGCAGTGCTTCAAAGTTTTAAAATCACGTGGTTATCGTATTGCCACAACGCATGTGGGAATGGATGCGGTACCAATAAATCCTGCTTCTTCTGTTTCTGAAATTCAGTAATCATAAAGTTGCATTTTTCTATATTTCACCAGTGCAAAAGTTCTCTTTTTTGAGCATAAATATGACACAGGCTCTTGTGCTTTGTGCAGGTTTCCATTTATGATATGGACTGGTCATGCTCAACAGCAATAGTTGTTGGAAATGAAAATAGGTGACTACAGTTGTTCTCGCTAGTGCTCTTTCGATTTTAGACAGACTTTTGCATTTGCACAATTTGGAAGCTCAAAAAATTTAAAGCAAATATATTTATTTAGAGGCTGGTTGAAAATATGTTTCCTTAGGCTCAAATCCAAATGAACCCTCATTGATGTATTAAGTGTGGGAAGGCTATTGATATAAATGAAAATGCTACTCGTGGCGTATGTGAAAATTTAAAACAAGTATATTTTTAATGTTGGGAAATTATGAAACATTTTTATTTGGATTTTCACATTAAGTTGGAAAAACTCCTATTGTATCAAATTTTCAATTCATGTGATTAATCCATACTATTTTTTTTTTGTCGTTTTTCAAACTATTAGTTTTTTGATGAGCAAATGAAGTTGATTAATTAGGGTTTTAATATGACTTACCAGTTGATACCATAATTAGCTGTCTACTGACCTTACTTCATCCAAAATCTGGTTTCGCCTCTGCTTGCTGGTGTGAAAGTGATAAGATTTACCTGTGCATTCTTCCTGCCTGTCTTGAAATGCTGCCTGAAAGAATGGATAGGCCTGCCATACTAGTCATTGAATCAGCTCAACCTCAACATTGGAAAAATATTCTTCTGATTCATAAATTATTGATTCTGTTCAGTCTCTTGCTTGCATTAATACTTAAGTGATGTAGAGTCATTTTCTGTCTTCAGTTAACTCTCGAGTTTCAATCATCAATATAGGTGTTAACTAGAAAAATGTCTAAAGATCATTCCCAGTTTACATCTGTCAAATGGATTGTTGCACGTCATTGATAGCGAAATGGACATTTTGATCATTTCAATTTCTCACTTGCTCAGGAAAGACAAAAGATATTATACCAGTTCTGGTTGTGGTTTATCTAGCCCGTATATAAGACTCAGAATACCAGTGAAGTAGGTTGACTCAAACATGTTTTCAATGCTTGAATAACATCATAGCTGGTAAGCTTATATTGCATTCAGTAGTGTTTCTCCGAAACGCGAACTTGAGCACATGTTTTGCTATGTGGAGTAACGTAAACCTTTTTTTGGGAGTATAATCATCTTAATCAAAAGTTACAATTTGAAATTGGTGAATTTCTGATCCCAGTGGGATAAGCAACGAGGCTCTGGAGTTGTCAGATCTGCATTGCAGTATTCCTATGAAAGGCATGGTGGATTCTTTCAATGTTTTTGTTGCTGCTGGCATTCTCATGCACCATGCCGTCTGTGACAGGACTTCTCGCTTGGTAATAACTGGCTTCCAGCACAAACTATGGTTTTATTTTGTGCTAAATTTCATGATCCCAAAATTGATCACTTTGGCGAATGTTTTCATTTTGCTTTGTAGTGGATGATCAGTTGCTATACAGGATAACTGGAAATTACACATTGTGTGTCCATTATAAATCTTAAGACATTTTGGAGTTCTGTTTACCAGTTGGTAGTAAGGTCGTTCCTTTTCCAAGATGTGACAGCTTTACTTGTTTTCATACTACGTAATTTATGTTTACTCTTTTTTTTTTCTCAATTTGGTCCTTTATAGAAGTAGTTGTACTATTTCATTCATTGGCATCTACTTTTTGGGAATCTCATTGGTTTATATTCTTTTCAATACCATTTTTGTTAAGACGATGGTGAAACGTCGCGAATTTTTGGGTGAGCACATTCGTATCTGATATAGAAAATATGTCCTTTAGTTCAATGATGTGAATTATACACATATCTAACTCGAAATTATATCATATATAGTGAGTTGAAAATGCATTTGGATTCCAGTTTACAAAAAAATGTTCATTGTTGTGTACAGGGTTGTCATGGTGATCTAACATTGGACGACAGCCAAACTCTTCTTGAGGAATTTTATCTGCATCACTGCAAGAGTGCAATTAGTATTGCCAAAGAGTATGCGAACAGGAAGTTAACCAGGTTCACGACAAAGCTTTGATAAAGGCATCAACGGTCTAACCTCTGGATTTCCTGTTGTAGAATATTTAGAAATTAGTCATAACTCGTGCCTAAAGGCACAATAAAATATAAAATTTGAGCGGCTAAAAAATCGATTCTATTATATTAATTTTTTTAAAAATATATTAACTATAAATTAATTAAATATTAAATGATTAATTATATGGTAGAAATGAATGATGTGATGTTTATAGAGAAAAAATATATAAATGATTAAACATATAATAAAAATAAGTGATGCGATTTGATATTTGAGTGTGACAAAGAGATGATGGGTGAGGTAAGTGATTGGTGATAGTTTTGAGAGAAAAAATATGACTGGAATAAAATTTAAACATATTTATGTTTTATTATGTAGATAGTGACCCCGGAAAATCTTACAGGTGTTGTTTTTGCTGTCATTTTATTTGTTGTTATGCCCCNCATATATAGTGAGTTGAAAATGCATTTGGATTCCAGTTTACAAAAAAATGTTCATTGTTGTGTACAGGGTTGTCATGGTGATCTAACATTGGACGACAGCCAAACTCTTCTTGAGGAATTTTATCTGCATCACTGCAAGAGTGCAATTAGTATTGCCAAAGAGTATGCGAACAGGAAGTTAACCAGGTTCACGACAAAGCTTTGATAAAGGCATCAACGGTCTAACCTCTGGATTTCCTGTTGTAGAATATTTAGAAATTAGTCATAACTCGTACCTAAAGACACAATAAAATATAAAATTTGAGCGTCCAAAAAATTGATCCTATTATATTATTTTTTTTAAAAATATATTAACTATAAATTAATTAAATATTAATGATTAATTATATGGTAGAAATGAATGATGTGATTTTTATAGAGAAAAAATATATAAATGATTAAACATATAATAAAAATAAGTTATGCGATTTGATGTTTGAGTGTGACAAAGAGATGATGGGTGAGGTAAGTGATTGGTGATAATTTTGAGATAGAAAATATGACTGGGATAAAATTTAAACATATTTATGTTTTATTATATAGATAGTGGCTCCGGAAAATCTTACAGGTGTTGTTTTTGCTGTCATTTTATTTGTTGTTATGCCCCCCGAAAAGCTTAAGATGTAGCAACATTATATGAATAACATGCATGCATTGCTCATGTAGTCCTAGTTTTTTACGACCAATGCTTAAGATGTATCAAAACACGTGAATAACATGTGCATTGGTCATCCAGTCGTAGTTTTAGAAGTTAAAAGTGTAGGAATGGAGAATGACATTGCAGTATACATGGTAGAATTTGATTTGCCTCTACTTGATCCAACATTTCTAACCATCTGCTTAGGGAACTAAGTTTGACCAGTTGTTATTTTCTCCCAAGGAAGCATGGATAACGGTACGGCATGACATGGATACGATAAAATATTAAAAACTAGAATACGGGTACGATCAAATGCGTTTATATATCTATATAATATTACAACAAGGAAGTTGAATTCTCAAATTATAGAAGTACAACACCGGTCAAGATTGATCTAATTTTTAACTACTTCGATCTAATGGTACAAAATTTATCCCAAAATATTTTTTCTTGCTCAAAAATATCATTTATTGCATGAACCCCAATACTAGACAACTTCTAATTCACACCTCTCCGGATTGCTTTATCATGCTTTGAATCTAATATTCTATATAATTCTAAAGTTAAGCATGAGTCACCTTTTAAGAGTTTTCAACTTTTACTTAGTATTTAATTGTGATCGACTTCATTGGTTTTGACATAAGTTATAAAAACTCGTTATTCTGGTCAATCACTATAAAGAATTGACAATGACATATGCGATTCAAGTTCAAATGAACATCTTGGAACAAGAAATTCTCATTTATATGATTCATGAGTTCTATGTAGCCCAGCTCATTAAGTATAAGACAAATGTGTCTCCTATGGAGAAATCTCTATTCAAAGTGTATCTGACAAGTATCGAATAATGATATATATTTTATTAATTATTTGATATGTGTGGAAAGTATCTGGTAAGTATCCACTAGTATTCAACCAGTATCTGTATCCGATATTGGATACAGATATAGCTTTGTCTTTAGTAGCTAAACGAAAGAATGCAATATGAATCTGTTATACACAAGAATGCAATTACAGAAAAAGATGGAGTTGTTTGCCTAGTGAAGAAAACAAAGTGTGAAAATCGTGACCATTGCAAGGAGGTGGCAGATGCGGTCAGATGCAAATCGATCTCCTGGAGCCTACTATTTAGTTGCCACTTATCTCTTCACACAACTACCTTTCTCAAAACAATTTAGCACTCGAATAAGTAAATCACTGCCATGTTCCAACCCAGAATTCCATTCTAAATTTCCACCCCTTCTCTCCTGAGGGAATCTCCACAGCGGTGTAATTATTTCAAAAGCATGATTAGAGAGAGAGAGATTTACCTATAATATCTGTGGGTAGTTGTTTTATCAATTTTGACAGTGGATTTTGAAGGTTTAATTGATCGTGAAACGACTTGATGGAGAATATTTCTGCCCCACTGCTGAGCAATGTGGATGTAATCTTGCTTACAAGTGCACAATTTGATATCATCATCTCCTTCAACTGATCTCGCATTGCATCTTTATTCAACTTAGCATTTTCCAGTTGTTATCTTTATGCATTTCGATTTATATCACCATGGTACACCTTTTCTTCCCAAGGTTGTACTTCAGTTTGCCATACAAGATGATTTCTATATACCACAGGGGAAGACCTTGGTAGTTATTTTTTGTGCAATAGCAGTTTAAATGATGCAAAATTATTCTAGCAGAAACTTTTGGCTTGGAATAAGGCGAACAATTGTAAATTGTTCAGTGCGCTACGATCTATTCCTCAAAGGAGTGGCATGCAGTCAATAAACTCCTACTTCAACATAATCAAATGCACGAGGTTTCTGTCAATAAGAGGATCTAGGGAGATCATCTGTATGCAATTTTATCCTTTGCGTAAGCATAGACTGTTTCAGTGACTTATTTGTGATGCTGAAACCATAAAGAAACTACTTCATCATTGCTTTTAAAGCGGGTGGCAAAGATCAACAAACTTTTTACGCCTCCCTGTTTTTGTGCGCACAAAGATACGCACCCCAGGTATATTCACAACAGATACGCACCCAAATTTACATTTATAAAGACCTAATCAATCAATGTTACTCCATTAGGCGTTGTCTATTTTGTATTTACGCTGTGTTTGATCAGTGATAATGAAGCATGGGAATGGAATGACCATTAGTTAGTAATGCTCATTCCAATATTCAGTATATATGTAGTAATGACAATTCATTTCATTCCTAAGAAATAATTAATCCCACAAAACATGGGATTACTCGTTACCAAATAAGACACGGTATTACGCATTCCAAAGCACTCGGTAATAAACCAAAATTCATAGCACAAAAAAACCCGATTATTCCCCATACCCCCCACTGTTTCTTTTTCTCTACGTTTTCTTTTATCGGTCAAGTGCTCTCCCTGCCAAATTTCTCTTTCCTCTTCCACTACTCTGCTCGACTCTCGACTATTCTCCACCGAGACCCATGGCATTCCACCCCTCCCTTCATCCCCTCTTAGCTACTGTCGACCTATTTCTAACCCGTTTTTGAAGGGAAGTGCTGAATCGAAGACAAAGACCAGAACCGACTTTGGCCACCAATCTCTGGTAATTCCTCGGTCTTGATCAATGAATAATTGTTTTGCATGTTTAGTTGAATTAGTTTTCATGCTTATACAGTTGAAATGGGTTGGAAATGTATCGGGTGAACTAGTTAAATCAGTTGAATGAGATTATGTCTGAAACCTGTTCGATGATAATCCTAAATGAGAAAACATACATTGTGTGCTGTTGTTGTTGTTGTTGTTGTTTTCATTTTTGATTTTTTTTTTCTGGTATGGTTGATGTGTCAATTGTTTTGAAGAAATCTTTTCTCTCCGATTATTTTTTGTTTTTATGCTTACAAGAAACTATTAATAGAGGCAGTGATGAAGAAAAATATACCATCAAACTATGAAAGCTTGCCTTGTTGATGTTATCCAAAATCATTACTCTGTGAGCCTTTTTTTGTTTGTTTGTTTTTAATATTAGATTTTCTGTATCATGTTATAAATTGAGAGGTGTTGAGCTGGGTGATCCTATTTGAAATGATGTAAGCTAAGCTCTAGAGGCAACAAATTAGAGTCTCTGATGCACTTTTTCTAATGGTGTTTTCAGTGCTGTACGTTGCCGATAAGGATATGGGAACAGAGATTCTGGCATTGTCTTCCTTTTTCTGAGGTCTATGCATTCAGATGTTCCTACATTTTCATTATACTCTCTTTTCTTGGTTTTTTTTTAGGTTTAGGGTATAGGATTTTTGAATAAATACACAAGATGACATGTGTTTGAGTCTCTAAGATACTGATATAGAGAAACCAGAGGACATGAGATAAAGTGTGAGGATCAAGAGTCAACAAATGATGAGTGAATGAGAGTGAGTGGGAGCAAGAGAAGAATGGACATAGTCAGTGATAGGAAGCTCTCGATTGAATAATTCATGAACAACAAAAGTCTAAAGAAAATTCCTCAACATTAGCATGCACCAGGGCCAGGTAGATCTCCAAAACAATTGAATATTCTTCACATCAATGGTAAGTACTTACTCCCACAAGAAGTTCAACATTAATCATTGTCCACTTTCTGCAGTAGATAGAAACTGATCTAATCAGTAGCGGTTTGATTGTGGCTCGCCTGAGCACCCCCACTTTCGTTCAATCTCATTACATCTAGAACAATGTTGACATTTGGCAAATACCCATTTCTAAAGCAACCACAAATGCCTCTAAAGCAAAGTCCATACTTACTCCCACTGGATTTGTGCTCAACAGGCAATCATTATGATATCCCCCAAACTCCGGAGGAGGAGTAGAATTACTACTTCCTACAATGAAGTGGTTTGTTTCATGATTGAGAATATTGATATCTGCAATTTGAAA